TGGAGACTGGCGACTGTCAATCCTGAGTAGGTGTAAGAGTGTAAGTGATCTCCACTTGAGAAGAGGAAGTGCCATCCTAAAGAAACAATGATCAGTTAAGGCAGTAAGGTGGAAAGAATATTCAGTGAGAAGGTTGAAGATAAAAGGAGAGCTTTTAACCATAAAAGGAACTTCAAGTGAGTTTGGGAAAAACATTTATGAGAATGATAGGTATCAAAGTCTGAGGCAGCTGGCTGTGGTTGCACACACTTGTAAGCTCAGCACTCCAGAGTTTGAGGCAGGAGAATCACCTCAGTTCTAGGCCAGCCTGAGCTACATAATGAGTTCATTCCCAGCCTGAGATATGTAGGGAGACCATGTCTCAACAAGACAAAAACCAAACCAAAACCCCCAAAACCCCAAACCAAACCAAACCAACCAACCAATAAACAAAAAACACAAAAACTTGAGTTAGCAGGTGATATGTTCTAGTTCTTCCTATGCCTCATGTATGACTCATGTTTGCTACAGGTTATTTGGCTTCTCTACAGTGCCATTCTAGAAAGATCTTTAGTTTTGCTTTCTCCATATTTTGCCTGTTTACCTATGTCCATGCCATACACACTAATCCTACCACTGTAGGTCTAGTTTGTTGAAATTGTCTTATACTTTCTAGTTCAACTGGTCCAACAATTCAAGACAGAGAACCAAAATTTGTATTTTGGAGAATTTTGTACTCATGTGGGCAACACAAGCAGTATGAGTATACATTCCATTAGAGGGGATATAGGACAGGGAAATACTACCTTTCACTTTTGAAAGTTGCAGAAAGTTAGAGTCTAATATCAGGAAAATGAATCAGGAAACGTGAGAGGAAGACTGTCTTCAGACTGTTCTCAACATTAGCGCACATAAACCCTCAACTGGAAACACTACAAGCCAATTCTTGTGATTAGGATAACATCAACTAAGTCTTCAATGAAATCAACATTGTTTTTCCATTCTAGACAAGGATGACACTGAGCCCAAAATATAACATTTTAACAATACATTACAATGCCTACTCATTTGCCAGCAATTCCACATCAAAGAGTTTATTCCTAAGAAATTATTAGAGGAGTGGGCATAGAGCTTGCATTGATTTTATAACTTTAAGAATGTATTAATGCTTGGCTAATAGATTTTTTTATAGCAATAGGTCAAAATGCTATTCGTTTTTTTTGCAAGATCATACTTTATTGGTGTTTTCTACACATGAAAGATAAAATGGAACTCTGATCAGAAAATTTGTACTCAAAAAAAGGCTTTGTCCATACACAAAAGATTGGCAGTTTAAACAAAATGTTTAAAACAGAAATACAATATTTTTAGTACTTTTTATCATTTTCTACTTTTTTTTTCTCATTGAGTTTATTGGTACATTTTAGGTGTACAGTAGTTACATTCATCATTGGGATCTTGTACCTTTACGCTACAGGTCATGTTTCTTATTTTTTCCCCCGTATCCCTGTCCACCCTTAACCCCCTCCTCCCTTTCCTATTTACAAATAATTTACTTCCATTTTTTCATTTTCTCATATTTTTTTCTTTTCCCTTATTTCCTTTCTCCTACCCTTCTCACTTCCCCTACACCTTTAGCCCTTTTTCTTCCTATTTCACATTGTCAATTAAACCATTAGGATTTTATGTACAATTCTACCTTTTCATTTTTATTAATAAACTGTTTCAGAAATGGCTTTACCATGCTCAGATGATGATGGCACAGTAAACAGCTCAACGATTTCCATTTAATCAAATTTAGCAGACATGGACATGTGCTGCTTAGATTCCTCATCAGGATGAGTTTCAGCACCTAGACCCAAGGAATATTATTGGCTGTCAGAGTACAGCAGTTACCTCTCCAGGACCTCCCCACATTTTAAAACCAAGGTTATAGTCTTCTCAAGGTTGTCCCTAGGTAATGACTAATTGAAGTGATTCTACAGGGTCTACATATTTGACCATATCTGGAACTACTCCAGATGATGATCTTTGTGAGACAGCTCCCTAGTCAGCTGGCAGATACTTTAATAGGCCTATATTCCAATCTGAAGACTGCACAGTCCTGCTCTCTCCTATTAAAGAACTTTCTCACAGAATATGGAACTGATCCTTTAAATTTAGAAAATCTGGCAGGTTTTCTGAAAATCTTCTGGCAGTACATGGTACACAGTATTCAATATAGTTTGAATATTAGCTCTAGATTTCTGGCACTCTATGGAGATTACATGGGCAACATATATTTTCTAGACCCCATCTGTGCTGGGAAGTCAGTTATATTGTTCCTTTATTCTCATGACCTCACTGTCACTCTTGTCTTTCCAGCGATTGGTTCAGTAAGTGGTGAAAATTATCTGGCACAAATTAAGCCAATATATATATGTGTGGAAATTCTTGTTAATTTCTAAGAAATACAATACAGGAACGTAGAGGGTTTATTTGGGTCTAACACTTACCACAATGCTACCTGAAAACTCTTTGATCCACTTTACTTCATTCTGGCCTTAGCCTTTCCAGTTAAAAAATATTAGCCAGTGTGTCCAGAAGACTACTTTATGAAAATTAAAGTAAATAAATGATCATTCTACAATATCCTTTCTAGGAATGGTTGAGTGTAGTGAGAAATGAGTCAAATACTGTCTATACAGATATTGTTTGTTTAATGACTGAGTTTAGTTCCTGTGACTTGATTGTTAAATGTATTTGTCTCTAAAGGAGGGACTGTATATAGTATGCACATTCAATATTCAAAACAAGGAAATGGTCAAAGGCAACTTCAACTTGATGATTTTGCTTTATTTTCATAACTCTTACAGTTAGTACTGTAATATATAACAGAACATAAAGCCACAGTACTGTATAGTAAAATCAGAAAAAATACAGTACTATATAAACGTGGTGTACTGTTCAAGAAATACACTGAGCTGCTATAAACGAGGTATATGGAACTGTACAAAAAACAATGTGAGTCATAAGTCTGAGTGGCAGGTGATAAGTCTGAACAGAGTGCCTCAGTCCTAAGTCCAGTCATTAAATAGATGGATCATTAAACAAGGAATATCTATACTGTTAATGTCTAGGATAGACATACTGATAAAGTTCACTCCCTCAAAATGTATCCAAAGTTCAGTCACTAAGGACCAGCATATTTTATTTCTAAATTAATTTATTGAGGACATTTCACACCTATATTTAAAAGAATTAAAATCAGAAATCATCCTCTCTTATTCCTCAAAGGTTTAGAAAAAGCCCATCTGACTCATTGCTAATCCTGTCACTCAACTCTCTGGGGATAATTAATTTCATCTGGTAGGTGTGTAGAATAAATAGAAGGGTTTTTCTTTCCATCTCTCATTTTTTCATCATTTGGAAAGAGACTACAGGTCCAGAGAGAGTACATGTGGAACACTGAAGAGAAGGAGGTTGTATTATGGTAGCATAAAGTCCATTTTGCCAAATCAAAGCCAGAAAGATTTTCCTGTTAAATGGACTGAGAAACATCATAACAATAGCCCTAAATTTGGGAGTAATGAGGGTAGTTGCATCATTCTGCTTAATGTGCCTGGTCCTTTTTATAAAAATTTTGAGTTGTGTCTAGAAAAAGAAAGGAATATGAGGACATAGGAGTAGATAAAAGAAGGACAAAAAGACCAAAGACATGAAAGTGGGAGTAAGTTTGCTGATTATAGTGAGGGGTCTATAATGACTATGTAAAGAATCTAAGCGATAGGTAAGATTGTATAAATATTGTAAGTCCAGATCATATGGGGGCTCCTTAGAAACATAATTTAGGTTTATTATTGAATGGAAAACTATCTTAAATATTTCAGCCTACATTGCCTTGTATGTAAGCGGTATTTCAGGACAAAAATAGCTAATATTTGAATTGTTACAATAATAGGTAAGAGAGTGGTCTTTGGAGAAGTTTGGAGTGGAGTTCAAATCCTAACTCAGGAGTTTGCTAACTATCATATATGACTGGGGAAATTTCCTATTTTCCTATGTTTTGTTTACTGCATCTGTAAAAAACAGTGTAGTACTACCTACCTCTCAAGATTGTTGTATGGACCACACATAAAGAGACTAATTTAGAGTTAGTGTATAAAGTATTTTGGAGAAGACAGAATCTGTAGGCAGGGAACTTTTAGGAAGCTGCTGCAAATTTTGAGCAAAGGTAAGATACCAGACTGGAGAGGGAAGACAAATCACAAAAGAAAAGTAAAAAGTAGGACAGGTGACTCATTCTCTTTCTTGTCTCATTCATCTTGCAAAGTTTTTCTGTTCATTTGAAATCATCTGGGAACTTTTAAGTACATAGTCCCTCTCTTGTACTTTACCAATTGTTTGCTCATTGCCCTAAGCTGCAAATAACCACCTGCTTTCTCTATCATTTCAACATCTCCTGGGAGATTATTTTCAAGTTTTGTTTGCAATTTTCTCCTCCATTCTTGAGTTTGCCAATCAGGCCTCCTACAAATCGCATGCAGAAGATTTCCTATTTTCATAAGCAGCAAAACTCAAAAAGAAAATATTCCTTTCTTTTCAGGATTTAGGGAAACCTGAAACTTCTCTTGAACCCTGACCCAGTATTTCAGTGCACAATTCCTGCAAACAGCTAACATCATAAAAATCATTACATTATAGGAGTCTTAAAATGTTCAAGGCTTTGAGAACTTGGGCTTTTTCTTAGTAGAGTCTGGATTCAACACAGAACTTGTCGTTTCAAGGAAGATCTATCTTCTGATTTGAGTACAGGAAAAAATTTGGTCTGTATAGAAAGAGCCCTTCTTTCTAAAGTAATTCAATTCAGTGTTCGCTTTTTTTTCTCCTCCCCCTCTCCTCGAGTAAGGAATAGTGAAAAAGAATTGTTTCAACAGATCTCGCGGTGCTATTCGAGATTCTCTATTAAAAAAAATAGAAATGATGCAAAAGAGCTTGTGCCTTCCGGGGTTTGGGGCTGGACTACAGTCCTCTGAGCCTGTTGAAAGCAGCTAAGGACGGAGGCGGGGCTCTGGAGAGTTCCCTTTCTTCCTTCCCCCACCCTCCTTTTCTCTGTTGGGCCCCAGTTCATTCCTAGCCTTCCTGCAGCTGCTCCGCAGCAGTTTCCAGGATCCAAACAACTGCAAGCCACTGTTCACAGGATGGTGATCCGTGTATATATTGCATCTTCTTCTGGGTCTACGGCGGTAAGGAGAGTGGGGAGTCAACCTATGTTATTTTTCTTACCTACTGGTCTCTTCTGCTCCAGAACCGTTAAATTGCTGTTCATCTGGCAGCCTCTCCTTCGGAAGACGTATGCATCCCCCTCCCTGCTCCTTTCTTCCTTTGTTGTATCGACTTTATTTTTCTCAAGAGGTTGGGGCCGCGTTTCTCCTATAAAGGAAAAAGAAAGCTACAAAATTTTGGGAAATGGGAGCTGGTGCTATTGGTTGTTTAGGTTTAGATGAAGAAGTCAAATAAAATTAGACACTGGTGAGTTTCAAGAGTGAGACATTTGGCAAATATGCTCTAAGTAATGATGCAAGCAAAAAGGATGCATTTTTGTAAAGGATGGAGGTGTATACAGCTGTTACTGATGGAGGTTGAGTGGAGGCCTACTACTGTGGCTTTGGGATTATTTGAAAAGATGACACTCCTGTAAGAATGTTTAACTTCAGTTTAAAGGCATGTTAAAACTACACAAAATGGGAGAGGAAGTTGAGAACATTTATACCATTTTTTAAAAACAACTTTGTAATAAGATGTTTTTTCCCTATATTGCTTGCCATTTTGAATTTTTCTTTCAAAAGGTTTTACTTCTAACGTTTCTTAACTGCTTTATATATATTGAGAACTGGAAAGGGAGCTACCGAGTAGCTTTTTCTGAAGTGGCAGGCTGAGTTGGCTGCTTCTTCAAAAGATAGGACTTTCTCCTGGATCCATTTGCTAATTGTTAAGTGAGGATGACACTTTTTCAGCAGCTAAGAGGAGGAGAGGATGAACTATGTGAAAGCTGAATATATCTGCTTTAAAGGAAAATGTCTCTGTTCTTCACTACTCAAGAGAAAAATAGGAGCAGATGTGTGGGGTTGAAGACAGAAGTTGTAGGAAACCCTCCCTCTCCTTGTGTTCTTGAGTAGCAGTGATTCTGGGTTCTTGCTTTTTTCTTTTCTTTTATATTTACATCTAAGATGATTTGAAATCAAACTGAAGACTATGTGAAATTACAAGAACTTTGCTCCTTGAGTTTTCTCTACTTACTATGTGTGGGCATGTTTGCACAATTTTGAGATGGTCAAAATACTTGATCATATAGTTGGAGCAAGTTTCAGTTGCATAAAAGAAAACTTTAAATTTACTTTGGAACCTCACATTATGTCTTTTGTCTTATTATTTTTCATATATATTCTGATATTTCAAAGTACAATTTGAGTTGCTCAGAGTCTCAGTCTAATGTAACAATTGTAATGTTTCAAAGACTAGCTCAAATGCCTTTAGTCACACCCCTAATTCGATTGAACAAATAAGGTAGTTAGATTATCTTTGGGGGGCCCTAAAGTTTCAATCCTGCTATTTGTTATTTGTGGTCTTTCTCTTTTACTGCCCACTTCTTTCAAAAAGAATTCTACTCAAATGAGAACAAATGCACTTTTCTCTTTGTTAACACATTTCTAAGAGCCTTAACATGATTGAAACTTTTATTAATTTGTTTGTTGGACTTTGTTGTTAAAAATTGCAAAAGGCAGATGTTTATGGTATTTATGTTTAGTCTAAATTTTTTTCTCATGGGTAAAGTTTTATCCATGGTTTCAGTTATTACACTTAATATAAATGTGTTGCCAACATTCCATTGCTTATTATCAAGATAAATCCTTGTTTTATAATAATTTTACAGTATTTTAAAATGCTAAAACAGTACAAAGTAAGCACGTTTTACAGAGATCTCTTGTACAGCATAAATAAGGTAATGATTATTTACTTCAGAAAGGGACTCTTCAGTTTGCAATATTAAAGTTTTACTTTATTTTACTTATCTATTTATCTTTCTATTTATTTATTAGCACCAGGGCTAGAACTTGAACTTGGGTCCTTGCGCTTGTGAGGCAGGCAGTGGAACCACTGAGCTAAGTTCGCTGTCCTTAAACTTCTACTTTAAAGTTGTGCCAATATTGTTTTCAACAAATGATTTAGAAATTTGGGGGAAGATAGCTAACAGAGCCCAACAGTTGCACAAAGGAATATATTTCTGTAAGTGACTAACTTTATTTGTCCAAAGAATATTTAAAACTGGCTTTTGGTTGATGTAATATCTCACTGTTTTTGACTCTTAATACTGAATGTCATAAAATAACCAGTATTATATGTTTTATTGGATAGAGGAAGATTTGGATCTGTGATTGGCAAGACAAGGTTAATTTATTTGTAACCCAAGACTTCTAGAACTTCATAGACCAAATTTAAAATAAACAAAAACATGTTTTCAAACTTGCACTTAAATCACACCCACTACAGAGAAGTATCACTTGTAGTAAAAGCAAGTGCCATATTTTGGAATTCGCAACAATTTTTGGATAGTAGCCCTAAATAAGGATAGTCAAGAATACTTATGAGATGCTTGTATTTTCTTGACAATAGTCTTACTATCCCTATTTTCAGAGAAGGAAATGAATTTTCAGGGAGATTAAACAATGTTTTTATACACCCAAAGCAAGCTGTTTGAATTCAAGGAACATGTGCTTAACCACGAAGAAATGTTATCTTCCCACTGATGCTTGGCAGCTAATAGACATGAAGAGATAAATTTAAACATGAAGTAAGAAGGAAAAGGAGTAAGTTCTATAGAAGAAAGCAGGTTTGTTTGGGCAGGTGCATATAAAGGAATAGCAAAATGGGGAGCCAGTGTTAAGGAGGAATTAGTTATGGAATGGTAAATGTCAATAAGTGGGGTAAATGTTTAGTGAAATCCAGGAATATGGAGAAAACATGCATGTTTTAGAAAGTATAAATTCATCTTTGATGGGTCCAGATGTGAAAATCCAAGCTTTATTTCTAGTTCTCTTGGTGGGAACCATTTAGCAAGAATGCAGTTTCAAAGCTGTGTGCCCATAAAAAGTGACCTTGTCTATTCAGAATTGTTTATGCATACCTTTGACCTGCTGTGACACAGTAGTATATACTACAATTTTGTTGAGATTATAATGCCTTCTAAATTTATGTTGCATAGAAAAGGAATAGAAAGCCCTGTGACTATACAACTTAGTAAATTGCAATAGTTTTGAACAAAATCAGCATTTATGTCTGGTCAGAATTGCTTAGAGTAATAATAGATGGGAGAATTTTCACTGGCTTGGGAGCATTTTGCTCTCATATTTCTTACTACTAGATTAATAATGATCTCCATGTGGTTTTTTATAAAATGGAATACTACTCAACCATAAAGAATGAGAAATTAGAGTCATTCATAGGAAAATGGACACATTTTGAGGATATACACTTAAGCTAAATAAATAAGTCACATGTGTAAATACCGAATAGTTTCTCTGGTGTGAAAAATTATAATAGTACACAAGATCCTGATGGGATAATTAATAATGTGAAATAGCTAGAAAAGGGCTAAAGGTGTAGCGAAAGTGGGAAAGGTAGGGGAAAGGAAATAAAGGAAAAGAAAAAAATATGACAAAATGGAAATAGTTTGTAAATGGGGAGGGGAGGATGATGTGAAGGGAGGGCAGGGACAAGGGGAAAAAATGAGAACCAAGACCTGTCATGTAAAGGTATAAGATCCCAGTAATGAATGTAATTGTACTGTATACCTAGAATGTACCAATAAACAATAAAAAGAAAAAAAAAACAAAAAAAACCCAAAATAATGATCTCCATACTATATCCTCTATGCATTATATTTGTGCATCAGAGTCAAAATTGTGGAAAACAGGTGGTTCCTACAAATTTAATTTATGAAATGACTTCTATAAAATGAACTCTTTTATAGCTACTAAAATAGAAGATGACTGTAGTTTGGATTATTCACATATTAAATTAAATATACATAAGTTTTCTGTTTGGTGGTACTCTGTGCACAAGTTACAAAAACAAGTGAACAAAAGGAAAACTTTTGATTGCTAAGTCATAAGTTACTAGTCACATTATTTTCTTCATTTAGATAATAGGGAAATAGAATAGCAAGCCACAATTCTTCATTATGTGGATCTCAACTAATTATATTTTAAGTAATGGAATGTTTTGCTGCTAGGCCTCCGTATTTGTAAATTGAACTTTGATTTGATGTAGGCATTAGTCATTGCCATAGCTGCTAAGCTTTGTTTCGATGCTATTTAAAGCTACTCATAAACTACTTGAAAGACCAAAATCAAAAACTTCACCGAATGAATGGGCATGCTTTTTGGTTGCCCTAAACGGTAAAGAATGGCAACTTTCAATTACAAATGCAGAGACTGATCAGTGTCTTCAATTTAGTGCCCAGTATTTGATGGCTGATTTCCTAAATTTCACAGCAACTATGACAAGGTCATTGGAGTAATTTACCCCAATTTAGAGAGGCTTGCAAAACGCAATTATTAATGAGGGTGATTCTTGGGTATTTATTTATTTATTTATTTATTTATTTAGTTAGTTAGTTTTTTAAGACAGGGTGTCACTATGTTTTGTGATTGACCTGGAACT